GCCCAGCTTTGGGTCCCTCTCTGTTGATGCTTTTGGTGTGTTTGCGATAGCAGCTGTGCTGTTTTTGATGAAAGTAATACATCCCTTTTGGTTGAATTAGCAAGTAGCTTAGATGTTCGTATCATCTTCAGAAATGTAAATATCCTAAGGAAGGGACTGAGATACTTAAGAGAGTAAGATAATAATCTGTCTGCAGCTGGGCCATGGACAGTCTCGTGGATGCAGTGCAGCCTCTCTCTCCTGTAGGGGGAATGGGGCTCTCTCCTCCCAGCAGCATGGCTGCATTAGGACACAACACACAACATGTTTTTCTTCTACTCTAATGGAGTATAACAGGAATATGTGACAGAGGGTGTTGGAAAACTGAGAGGACAGAGGCCACCAGGGGACTTGGGGTTCTAGGAGTGGCCAGCAGGGAAGGCACCAAAATCAAAGTGGCTTTTGTCCACCAGGGCTGGGATGTTGATGGGGAGCTGTGTTGGAGGCAGCAGGAGGTAAGGGAACTCTACTTTCTGCTTAACTCATCCCGTGAACCTGAAACTGCTGTACATTTTGAGTTTGTCAAAGGAACTAGTTCCCCTCCCCACAGTGACTGCAGGGAATTTTGGTGTCTGTTACTCAGTAGTACAGCGGCCCAGTCAAGCAGTCAGGGAGACAGCAAAAACATTCCACAGAGGGCGAGTTACGGTGTCCTAGGACTGATGTTCTTAAACCACCTCTTAAAACTGTAGGTTAACAGTGTCTGTTGGGCATGGTAGAAGTCATTTAACAATATTCTGTGAATTTAATTGCCTTGGGGGAAGCGCATGGATAGGTATACCCAGGTGAGTCTGATATGAGACCGCCCCCTCTATTCTCCAATAATCTACCTCTGGCCTGGTCCTCTTTTTAGCCCATGGGGAGGCTGGAAACAGGATTATTGCTGTAGAAAATGAGGGAAAGGGAAAGGCACCGAGAAACATCCATAGACAAGTCCAAATTCACAATTTCCACAGCTACACACATACTGGAAACATATTTAATCAGGTAAAACTATTCTAAATACACTTTTACTGGTTTATAAATACTGATTTATAATAACCTGAAACATCTTTTTAAAAAATCATCCAAAATCTTCAAGTTAAATATATTTCAGGACTAGCTTGGACCATCTGTTTGTTGATTGTTTGGTCTAACCACTTCTGCATGCAGGTGTCCGGTAACAACACACACTGTCCTTTAGGCATGTCCACAGCGCTGAGTAGACCCACTTCTGGGCACATGCTCCTCTGGGGCTGTCTTCTTCTGCCAGGGGCTGACTTGCCTGTAGTTTGTAGAGCTTCACAATGGTCAAAAGGAAAACCAGAAGGGTCTACTCACTCCTAATACTGCTCAGGAAAATGTTTTCTGAGGAGAATGAACACAACTTTGTGTGCCATGTTCTCCTAAAAACACTGAGCAAATATGTGGTCTTGGTAATGTGGTGCAGATGAGTTTGTGCTTCAAATTCTTTCCAACAAATCACTTCCCTTGGATCTTCGGGATGTTCTGTTTTCTTCGTCCTGGCCAGCGGCTATCAGTGTCTCCCAAGACTGGTTCCTTGTGGCCTTGCTGACAGTGCTGACTTAACCATCCTTCCTCATCCTTGAGCTACAAAGCTGCTCTTACTTCTCTCAGCCCCATGGCCATGACCTGCAATTTGCCTCTGACAGGCTTAACTCACTTTGAGCTGTTATCGCCATCCTAGGACTGTGTCCCCTCTCCTCTGCCCACTAGGACAGTACCAGTCTGCCCCTTCTTGAAGTCACAGCCATTTCCCTGTATGTCAGGGAAGACTGACTTCCCCTTTCTCTCCCACAGTCTTCTTCAGGTACTCCATACATTACAGGTAACAGCATGGACGCCTCTCCCTGTCCCCTTCCCTGAGCACCTAAGGGCACTGCTCAGAGAGGTCCCTTCTGATAAAGAAGATCAAGGCTGAATTCTGTCCTGTGATTTGGGACTCTGCATATCATCTTCAATAGACATTCGGGGCAGCAGAGAAACACTCTGCGCAAATAGGCCATTAGCACCTAGGAAAAACATTTTTAGCAGGAAAGCTCATTTTTGCTCCCTCAGACCTCTTGTGTTCCAGATACTACTGAGCCTTTCCTCCCTCCTGTCCACTGTCATCTCCTTCCTCACCACCTTTCTTTCCCAAGTCTTTTTGTTCTGCACATCAGATGACAATCCCATGGCAGCCACAGTCAACACCTCAATCTAGGATAACAGTTAGCTTTTCCAGGCTCTCACTTCTGTTAAGAGACATCGCTAATGTGAGAATTCAGCCCCGCACGGAGGGAGTTGCTGAGAACAAAGCCACTGGCTCAGCTCTGCCTACACCCAGGTATGTGCTGGGCAATTTACCAGGACTTCTTCCTGTGATCCACACAACCACCTGTATGAAAGGAGGCCTCCGGATCCTCTGCATCTCCACACACAAACATGACAAAACCTCATCTTACCGAGGAACTTGCCCAAGAACACCCAGCCAGTAAGCCACAGCGTGGGAGCACAACACAGCCTTGCCGTAGGCATGCCTGTCTGTTCCTGACCCCAACTGCACCTAGAGACCATATGGAGCGGGCGGAAGTGCTAGAGCGCCTGGTGCACGTAGGCTCAGATGTCAGCAGGTCGGCCTACCGTAGGCACTTAGCTGCCATTCCATGCTCACTGTCCCAGACGGACTCAGGGCTGAGTGCTTGTCATGAGAGTGTCTTCTGGTCTGTCCAGAGACAAGTCCCTGACCGTCAGGATGGAGAAATACCCATGGGTTCCTGCAGACTAACCCGATCTCTACCTGTATCAAAGCACCTTCCCTCCCTCTCTCTTGCAAATACTGAACGAGTGTCCCTGCTTGGTCAGTTCCTTGCAGAAAGGCTACGCAGCAGCTTGGCAAATGACAGCAAAGCCCATCAGCACCAGATGGCTGCTCCCACGCCTCAGGCCTGCAGCTCCAGAAGCAGTGGTGTGCTTCAGAGGCAGGACCTGGGAACCACGCGGGTCACGCGCAAGCAGGCTGGCTGAGTGGCCCTCAGTCGCTGCTGAGGAGTCCGAGCAAGAGCCAGCGGCCCACCAGAGGCTGGATTTACCCTCAGCTCTTCACAGCCTCGCTGCTGCCACCTAGTGTCTGAGGCTGAGCTCATTGGAGCGGCCGAGGCGCAGTGGTGCAGGACCGGGGCCTTCTGGTGGCCCCACACCTGGCATCTGAGCACAGCAGACTGAGTTGAGTGGAAATCTCCGTGAGAAAAGCAGAAGTGGGCAACCGCCCTCAGGGCGGTCCTGTCAAAACCAGAAGTCACAGTGCTGAGGTATGTAAGCAACTAAGTGGCCAAATGTCCCACTTGCCACCGAGGCCCCCGCGCAAACTGCCCCGCGGTTTACAGCCGGTGAGCCTGGGTCGGTCTGGCGTTCTGCAGGCGACTCCACCGCGCCCTGGGAACCACGGAATGTGTGGAGGTCAGCTCTTCCCCTCTCCCACACCCACTTCCCTCCACAGCTCGGCCGAGCAAATCCGAGTCCCTGACTATGTGGAATGCGGTCCTAGCTACATCTTGTAAGGCTTAGTGCAAACTGTTACCTGCTTCACTGGATATATATGTACCTTCCTCTGGAGCCATCGTCCTTCCAAGATCACTACTTAACTCCTTGCTGTACTGGAATCAGCACCTCTCAGGTCTCGGTCCCTCAACTGGAATGAAAAGGCCTACAGCTTCTGCAGCTGCAGTGCCTGACAAATGCATAAATGCACGGGCCTCACATTCCTTTTGTGAAAAGCAGCATTTCTGTTCGTTTGGATTCGGTCCTATTACAGCCCAGCTGGTCTGGGGACAGCCAGGGGCGATGGAGCCTCAGGACCGTTTCTCTGGAGCCAGCCTAGTGCAGTCAGAGAAGCTCCTCCAACTCTAGGATCCCAAGGCGGTTTACTGCATCAGAATCTCCCAACCAGAGACCTCGCCCCACCCCTATGCATACTGATTAACGAGGGATACAGCCCCTCGGAGACTGGACAAGTGCTAGAAAAAGCTATATACAGTGGCATATACAGAAAGCACCCTGCCCTC